TGAGCCGTGCTCGCGAGCACTGACGGCAGGGATGGCTACAGGACGACCCAGGAGTGGAGATATGTTTCTGCTCTCCCTGCCCCCCTATTCCCCAATTTCTCCCCCCTCTCCCCAACCCCCTGTCTCTCCCTGCCCTCCCCCCTTTTCCTGCACAACCTTGGGGTGTCATGTCCTGAAATTGTAATCCCGTTTGGTGAAAATTCTTTTCTTTATTTCTTTCTTTTGATCGTCTTTCCCCAACCTTGCCAGGTCCGCGACCAAGCCGTCGCAGTTCCGCCTGACCGCTGCAGGCTCGCCCCTATGTGGAGAAAGACGCGTCCAGCGTCCTGGACGCATGCGTCCAGACACATGCGTCCAGACGCTGGACGCTAGTTTAGGGCCCCCGAGACGCAGCAAAAGACGCAGGTCCGGGCAGCCAAAAAAAACCCCCCGGGCAGCCAAAAAAAAGTTATAGGGCAGAGGGGAGAGGGGGTAAGAGGGGGGGGGGGGGGGGGGGGGGAACACACTTTCATAGCAAAATTTCTCCTCAACAACAAAATTTCAGCCACAACAATAGAACATGAAGGTGAGCCCCAAATTTCCATAATCACAATTAGTCCAAGGGTTGTTTAGCATGCATGCATACTACCACTAACTAACATGCATCACTCATCCTCCTCGCTCTCCATCCCCTTCTCCTCCTCCTTCTCCAAATCCTCCTGCTCCTTGTACTCGTCGAAGGTGAGGTCATCCTCATCCACCTCCACCTCTCCATCCTCCTCAAGCTTGTACCCCTCGGGAAGGGGTCGGGGGGGAATGTTCCCCTCCACTATTCCCGCCTTCCTGACTTCCCCACTCGGCCCCGCACCCGCCGCACCCTTGTGGTGGTTGTGCACAACGTTCCAGTTGTGCGCAACGAACACAAGGTCGCGAACACAAGGAGCTAGCCATAACGGTGGTGCGCGGAAAGGAGCTAAAACCACTAGGGTTTTTGAAAGAGAATTGGGTTGTGAGAAAAGGGAGCACAAATGAGAGGTTTCATGAACTAAATGGGCTTTGTGGGGGTGGTGGACCACAAAGGTTGGGTTTCCTAGTTGTGGAGTGGTGGAGAGGGGTTGGATTTCCAAATCAATTTTGCAAAAAGGGGAGGGGGTTAGGGGTGAATTAGATGGCTGGTTTTGGGGGTCGAATTTGCTTGGGGGGTGTCGAATTTCGGCGAAATTGACATTCGCGACGAAATCGCGAATGTCAATTTCGCGATCGCGAAAAAAAAAAAAAAAAAATCTCGGTCTGCCCGAAAAATTTTCCAGGGTGCGTCCTGCGTCCGGACGCGTGTCCTGCGTCTTGGCGTCCGGACGCTGCGTCCGGACGCAGGACGCAGGGCTGCCCCAGCATCTTTCTCCACATAGTCTCGCCCTATCCGCCGCAAGAAGTGACTCTGAACGCGAGAACTCCCGTCGTGCTGGGCTCGCTCGGAAAGAACTTGCAGTGCTCGCAAGTCGCGCCGAGCGTGTGGGACTGCTTCGGCCAGACCAAACTGACCCAGGCCGACATCAACAACATCGGGTTCACGGCTGGCGTGGGGGTTCGCGTCAATTCGTATGCGTTGAGTCTCACGTACACGGATGCACACAACATGGGGCTTGTCGTCGACTCCAACGCGAACCTCGCGGTAGCCAAGGCAAACTCGAAAATGGAGCAAGTCTTTGGTACGTTGTGTGCCCCCCCATCCATCCTGGTAACCCGGTTTGTGTATTTCTGTTTTCTTAGCTGTCGTGAGGAGCAGTCGTGTGTCGACTGACAACCCGAGATTGCCCATTTCACCTCTTTCGCTCACATGAAACAAGTTTTCAAGACGGGCAGTTAACTAACTCAAGTCAATGTTGCTGCAGGTAAAACCGATCTGCTGGCTAGGGTTGCCGCTGGAAGGTTCCAGGCAGGAATTAACAGCGAGAAGCTTAAAGGAGGAGCCATGTTTGCCGTCTCCAACATGTGAGTCCCTGTTACAGCTGCAATGGAAATGTCAATCCTGGTTCTCGCATGCCAATCTTCCTTTTCCTAAAATTTCACCATCCACGCACACAGATCTCAACCCCACTGCCTCATTTCTCTCTCCTCCCTTCTCCCTTCTTCCTCGCAGCAACCGCAAGTGCAAGCTAGACGTGAGCATCGTGGTAGTCTCCCCAGATGCCCCCAAGTCAGCAACTCTCTCCGTCTCTGACCCTGCTTCTGCTGAAACCACCGACCTTAACCTTTCTTGCACATGGTCCCAGCCCCGCCCCGGCGTGTGGCTCTGCGAGTGGCTTGATAACTTTCCGAGTGTGTCGGGTGCTGCTGGCACTGCAAGCGCTGCATATGCGGCTGCTGCCAGCATGCGTGCTGCGGCCCTGCCAGGCTCGGCAGTGGATTCGGTGATTAAGCTGACTGTGGAGTCGGAAGCGGGGGACACTGCTGAAGGCACACTGCGTTATGCTCTCTGAATGAACTCTGTCAGGACTGCTCTGTTCCTCACAGGGTGGTGCCAGCCACACCAGGAAATTTATGGAGAGAAGCTGTGTTAGTGGCAGTGAGTAAGTGTAGGGGGTCTACTGCTTCCTCCTCTCTGAAAGAGGTGGCACTGCCATGTTTCCTCTGTTTTGCGTGCAACCTTCCTGTAGTGCTTGCTGCATCTACACCTCGTGCCCTGTTGATGGTGCATCTGCATTCTTGTTGTACAATGTCCTTGTCATGCAAACTGTAAGCAACTTTATATAAAGCGCCACCCCCCGTATCATTGGAATGAACCAATCTCTTTATAACAATCACCAACTAGCTTACAGTAAACAATGTTTGACCTTACGTAGTACAGTAAGTCGTTACTGTCATAAGGTCAAGGTTAGTGGCCTCCAACAAGCTCCGCCCTTACAAACCAAGCACGGCCACAAACTCATAGAGAAACACATGATCCAGTAACTAAACCGATCGAATTAGTCATATGAATTTCCGTCCACACCCCATGATCCCTTTTCCTCCTGATTCACTTGCACTCTGATCTTCCACAGAGTTAGCAGGTCAACTGCAACGAGCTAGGCTAATCCGACAGACAACTCAAGTGCTGCACACATGATCTCGTTCCCATGATCCGATCTGATCCACCCAGGAACCCATCCTCCCACCCATGTTCCTGCTTTCCTTCCACTGCCCCCCTTACACGCTATTTACTCTCCTTCCCTCCTCTCCCTTTGGCTGGTTTTGCCACTGCTGCTGCCACCGCTGCTGTTGCTGCTGCTGCTGCTGATGTTCCATCCCGCACCACAATACACACCTAGTACACCCGCAACTAATACACCCGCAACTAACACACCCCAACTCTGTACCTGGAACGCACACAACCAGTAACAGTGTCTGTTACAACATACTACGCTCAGATGCTTTACTGCTGTACAGCAGGTTGCTACTAGAAGAGTCGATGCCCACGCATGCACACATTCACACACACATGCACATGCCTTTCACATGAGCCATAAACGTACACAAATGGACGCGCACATGCACACTCACAACCACATAGGCCCACTTTCCCAGATGCTTCTGTCTCTGCACCTCCCTCCACTTCCCTATTTCATCCTATCTCAGCACCACCGCCCCTATTTCCCACCAGATTGCTGTGACATGCTTCCATTTGATGAGCTGAGAGCATGGCTGGGATCTCTTTTGCTGCTGCCGCCGCCCCTGCTGCTGCTGCTGCTGCTGCTGTTGCCGCTGCTGCCGCTTCTGCTGCCATGGGTGCTGGTTGCCTGTTACAGGGCCGGAATCTTCTGCTTGGGCAAGGTCTCTTTAGAAGCACGCAACTTGTTGTCACGCAGAGCATGAGCCTTTGGGTTGCTGCTTGTGCTGCTGCTACTGCTACTGCTGCCTGATTTCTCATCTGTGAAGGCCACCGTTCGCCTCCTCGACGGTCCTGATTTATCCTCGTTATAAGCAGACGCTTCCTCTGCTGCGAGTACGGGAAACTGTGGATAGTGCCGAAACTGCTCCAACCCAACTTCTGATGGTGTGTCTATCGAATTCCGGCGAAGGGTCGGGAAGACTAGCTTCCAGACGCGATGCGCGTCGATCAAGATTGTATCCGCGTCCTTATCCTCCTGCAAGTCCCAATCTGGCGGTCCCAGTAGAGGGAAAAGGGGGTTGGGGAAAAAAGGGGAAAGAGGGTAAGGCGGAATCAGAAATGTACGAGGTGGGTCCTTATTCTACTGTCGACAATATGGAGTGCCGGGGGGAGAAGAGGAAGAGGTGGCGGTTGGAAGGCGTTACATTTGGTCGTGTGTCTGGGGAGAAAGGAAAATTAGGGTTGGGTGGAAGGAAACAGTCGGCGGGTAAGGAAGGGGATAGAATGGACGGGCGGGGGAGGGAAACGACGGGCTTCTAGGGTTGGTCACAGATGAATCGCCTCATGCCATTTCCTGTAAATCAGATTCAGTACACAAACAGACTGGATTATCCAAGGTCACGATTTTGGGACGATTCTGGACGCTGTGAGGCAGAATGTCGTTAACGAACCTGCCGCCTTCCCTGAACGATATCTCGAACCAGCTTGGTAGAAGCTTCACCCAGTTGAAGTGAGTCGGTTGAATGAGGTGAATATATAGTACGCTTAGAACCTATGCAGAGTTTGACACTCTTTATCTGTTCCAGGACCACCTTCTCAAAGATGACCCTTCTCGACAAAGCCAGTTGCTGGAAGATGTCACGCCTAAACTTAGAGAGTGCAGAAGGTGGATATGAAAACTCTGCCGTTGCGTCGAAGTTGCGTAGTCGCGTTACTGAGCAAACGGATCTTATTGCAGGTTGATTCAGGAATTCGAGCGTGACATGAAAGACCAAGAAGCTAAGAACTCACCAGAAGTTAACAAATTGCTGCAGGAGAAGAAAAGGAACCTTGTGAAAGATTTGAACGTCTTCGTCACTCTCAAAAAAACGTTCGTACATGGTGTAACATTCATGTCATTACCCCAGGTCTAATCATGAGGCTGTTTTTGCAGCTACCAGAGCGCTATCCAGGAAGGCCAGAAGGTGAAGCTGAGCGAGGATGGAAGAACGGCTGAAGTTGTGGGAGCTCCCCGGCTAGCATCTGGTTGTTGGGCTGAGGAAAGCCCTTAGGATCTTTGCAGGACTAAATTCTGAGTAGGACAATGTAATAGTGGAAGCGTTTAATGAGAAGTTTGTGAACCACCTTGCGCTGGTATGTGAGGGCAAAGTAGATTGATTAAAATAAAGAGATACAAGCTTTTATAAGAGTACAAGGGAATATGAAGGGTTATAATTAATAACTGTTTTGCTGTTGCTGTTGCGGTTCGATACAGTGACGACTCGGGCAACTGCTCCATAGCGAGTCAGTTGTTTGTCCTTGCTGTCGCGCTGTACTGTTCAGGTCAAAGGTCACTGACCTTTGACTTTCGCGTAACCTCCAGTAGTTGTTCAACCTCCGAGGGTTGACTCGCTGATGCTTCGATATGTTTCGCTTCGCTTCTGACTTGGTGTTTCGACACGACAGAGGCGCTTAAGTTAATTGTTTCCAACACTCCCCTTCGCTTCTGGAGTGTCGCTGCTGGTGACGTGGCTCTGATCAGTCAGCAGCATGCAGTACTCAAACTTCTGTTTTCCGAGTTTCTTGGTCAAGTAATCAGCTGCCATCTCGGACGTGGGGCAGTAGGATAATTTGAGTCTCCCCTTCTCGATCTCGTCTTTCACGAAGAAATATCGCAAGGCGATATGCTTCGTCCTGTTCGCGAATCCATTTTTGTTGGCTATGCGAATTGCCAACTGGTTGTCGCAGAACAGGGAGAAGCTGGGTAACTGAGCCAGCTTCGCCTCCTCCAGAAGTTCGCGGAGGTACAGTCCTTCCTTGGTGGCTGAGCAGAGTGCGATATATTCTGCTTCAGCTGAAGAGAGGGCGATTAACTCCTGCTTGCTTGACTGCCACGAGATGGGTCCGATAGGTTCGAGGCGATAGATGTAGCCGGTGCGCGAGCGTCTTTTGTCCGAGTCGCCGGCGTGATCGACGTCGACGTAGCCGATTAGTTTAGGAATTGTAGTTCCGTTCTTGTGGTAGGTTAAGCCGACGGTCGGGGTGCTGACGAGGTAGTGGAGAGCGCGGTCGAGTTCCGCCATGTGTTCTGCTTCAGGTTTCTTGAGGTAGGTCGCGAGCTGACTTGCGGAGTACGATAGGTCCGGGCGGCAGGTGACAGCTGCGAAGAGGAGGCAGCCCAGCTTTTTCTGGTAGTCGCGTATGCCTGCGGGCTTGAGCAGAGCGGAACTTTCCTTGTGATTCCCTGCGGTGTAGCGGTAAGGCGTGGAGATGGTGATCGGAGTGAGTCCGAAGCGTTTGGCGATAGTGTCGGCATATTTCGCGGCGTTGAGGTAGATTGCGCCTTCTTCTTCCTGGATGTTGAGGCCGAGATACTGCGTGACGGTGGACGAGACCGTGAGCGTGAGATCCTTCTGTAGCTCCCCTTCGAACCAGGTAGTGACGTTGTCGGTCGAGCCGATGTAGAGCAAATCCTCCACGTAGACGATCAGTAGGATGTAGTCGGTGCCCTTTGTGAGCCGATACATGCCTTGGTCGTGAGGTAGTTGGCGGAATCCAATGCGAATGAGTCTTGCGTGCAGATACTGTTGCCACAGCCTTGGAGTTTGTTTGATGCCGTACATGGATTTTAGCAGCTGACAGACTTGGTTAGGCTCTCCGTGGAAGCCGTGTGGGAGTTCGACGAAGATTTCGGCGCCAACAGGTGCGTAAAGGAATGCGTTGGAGACGTCGATTTGCCGCAGTTTCTTCTTCTTCATGGCGGCGATCGCGAGGAGAATTCGTAGTGAGGTGTGTCGGCTGACCGGGGCGAATGTCTCGGTGAAGTCGCGTCCGTGCTCTTGGTCGAAGCCGCGTACGACCCAGCGTGCCTTAAACTTGTCGATGGTGCTGTCTGCCTTTGTCTTCACATGGAAGACCCATTTCCCGGTGAGTACTGTCTTGTTTCGTGCCACGCCGATGGGAACGACTTTCCAGGTGTTGCGTTCCTCCAGTGCTTTCAGTTCCCTGTCCATGGCTTCACGCCATTTTTCCCTATGCTCCCCCCCCAGAGCCTGCTGAACCGTGGCAGGCTCCTTAGGAATGGCTGTGCCGTGAACTGCGGTGACGAGGCCAAGTATCTGGAGTCCACTCTGTGTGTAGCGGGGGAGTGTTGTATCCTCGAGATAAGGTGCTTCGTCACCTGCTTCTGGGTCAGGCATGAAGTTGGGCCCTATGCGTTCCGCTTCGTTGGTGTTGACTCTTGCAGGTGTAACGTAACCGGTGTCGGCGAAGTGGTAAAATACTTCGGCGTTGGTGCTGTCGCGAGGATTTTCGTCATCCATTGGGACGTCGACGGAGCAGTAAGGGAGAGGTCCAGCTTCCTCCGAGGCTTCATCCACGTTCTGCTTGTCCCAGTCAGCTTCGTCTGCTGCCGAGGCAAAGGCTCGGTCACCACGGAAACCACCTGTGGGGTCCCGATCTTCTTCCAGGTTGGCAAGGTACGTCGGAAGGGGTGAGTCGTTCGTAGAAAATGACATCACGTGCTGCTACTGTTTCTTTGGAGTGGACGTCGAAAATCTTCCACGCGTTGTAATTTCTTTCGATGCCCAGGTGTAGTCCCCACTGTGCGCGTTGGGAGGTTTTGGCCGGCTCGTGCAGATGGGGGTCGGTACTGTACCATGCAGCCAAAAAAATCTTAACATTTTTGTGCTGCCCTGTTTTCCTGTCCACAGCAGGTGCGGTGATGCGTTGTTCGGGAGCGATGATGACGAGAGCAAGTTGTGCAGCATGACAGCGTGGTCCATTGCTTCGGGCCACTGGTGGTTGGGTAGCCGCAGGCCACGTAGCAGCTTGCGCATGGTGTTCTGAAGAGTTCTGTTCATCTTTTCTGCTACGCCTTGCTGTTGGTGAGCGTAGGGAAGAGAGATGAGTCTCTTGATCCCTCTTTCTGCCAGGTACTGCTTGAACCTCTGTGAGATGTATTCTCCTCCTCCGTTTGACTGGAAGCTTTTTTGCTTCACGCCCGATTCTCGTTCTGCTACTGGGAGCCAAGTGACGAAGGCCTCGAAGGCCATGTCCTTGCTCGGAAGGTTAAGGTGCCAAACGTAACGCGTGGCGGCATCGATAAACGTGATGGTGTAGATGCATGTTCCTTGTCCAGGTTCACAGTTCTACAGGATGTCGCTGTACACTTTCTCGAGTGGTGCGTAAGCTGGTGCGCTGGGGTTGTGGTGAGAAGCGAACGGCCGATGTGGTAAGTCAGCTTCGGGGCAGGTAAAGCACGTTCCACGAGCTCGTCGAAGTTCGCTTCCGTCGGTTAGGAGCAGTGAGTCCTTGTCGAGCACTCCTGCTCTGATTGTGTTATTTAACACTGTGTTGCTTGGATGTCCCATTCGTGCGTTCCAGATGTCTTCGCCAGCTCGATGTCCGGGTGAGCGACGGTACAAGTCGGAGTTGGAGTAGAAGCTTGCGGTGAAGTTTGCGCTTCGATGGATTTCTCGTGGTGTTGGGTTCAATTGCTGCGCAGGAGTCGGTGGAATGTCGTCGTCGATTGGAGCCGGTGCAGTTGAAGGACCCGCGATTGGTGCCGATGCTGTTTCTGCTGCTGCCGATGTTGTTTTTGCTGCTGCCGATGTTGTCTCTGCTGCTGCCGATGTTGTCTCTGCTGCTGCCGATGTTGTCTCTGCTGCTGCCGATGCTGTCTCTGCTGCTGCCGAATGTTGAATCGTTGTTAATGCTCTTGTTCGTTCTGCCTCAGGAATGGTGTGCGAGTACCAGAAGCCTTCGGGACTGAAGTTGGGGTCGAGATCCGGTGGATGTGTCCAGGAGGTGAAGGTGATGATCCCGTCGCTGTCAGCGGTGCCAAGATCTGGAACGAAGTCGAGAACAAACACGTTGTTCTTCAGTACGGCCTTGCCGATGTAGAGGCCTCCTCTTCCGTGGTACAGCTTGAACTCCTGTGTTGTGCTGTCTCCTTCCAGGTGGATGCCTTTCGCCATCAGTTGACTGACACTCAGTAAGTTGTAGTCGAGTCCCTCCGCGATTAACACCTTTGACATCTGCAATATGACGTTTGTCTCTCGTGACTGAAGTTACACCACGCCTTGTCGTCGTGTGCGCAGGTTCTGGTTGTTGGCGACGGTGACGACGACTTCGCGTTGAAGTTGGTGTTCACGTTGAACGAATCGTCCTGAAGAGCACATGTGCTGTCCGCAGCAACTGTCCAAGAACCAGGTATTTTTCCCGGACGGCTCGCTTTGGGCGATGGCTGCATACGTCGGGTTTGGTTGAAGTGATTCGCGACGTGGAGTCCTTTCGTCGAGTTGTTCTTCTGGTGAGTAGTGCGGTGGCGATTCGGTGATGCAGGAGTCGGTCAATCTTGCCATGCAGCTGACGATGTTCCTTGTTCCTTGTGCAGGTTGTCCTGTTGACGTTGTTGACGTTTGCACTTGAGTGGTGGGATTTGCTTCCGTCGAGGCGACTTGACTGCTTGAAGGTCAAAGCTGCCGTGACGTTGGTGCTAACTGGTGCCGATTAGGGCAGTGTGTGCGGGGATGACCTGACGTCTTGCAAAGATGACAGAACGGAGGTACAGGTTTTCGTTGATGCCGGTTGTTGTTGTTGTTGTAGCGCCGTTGAGTGTGAAACGCAAATTCAGGTACTTACGTTTTCCTCTTGTGTCGCTCCTCTTGCAGGTCCATGTCTTGCTGTTCAGCGTGAATTTCGGCGCATAGTGTGAAAGAATGAGGAATGAATGCACTAGGAAACAGGTGGGTACAAGAAGGAAAACCTAAAAGTGTTGTACCCCATATTGTCTACCCCACTACAGCCTACACAGACTATAGCATATATGTTTGACACACCCCCATAGGCAAAGTGGGGGAGAACAAGAGGTCACAAGACCAGTCAAGCAAAGCACAGTAAGCACAGGGTGGATCACAACGTCACCACACATTCCGAGCACAAGTTCAAGGCCACAAGGCCAGTTCACATGCAAGATTATATATAAAGGTAAACAAGCAAGTGCAGGTATAGATAGATCACAGTACAAGCAAGGTCAAGCAGTG